CTGACACTCCCTGACACACTCTAACATGCTCTGACACTGCCTGACACACTCTAACATGCTCTGACACTGCCTGACACACTCTAACATGCTCTGACACTGCCTGACACACTCTAACATGCTCTGACACTGCCTGACACACTCTAACATGTTCTCAGACACAGGAACGGTCTGTATAAACAGACACAGGGTTGCTGGCTTCGAATCATTTTCAATGGACAGACCTGGCAGGAATGACTGCGATGCGTGGTGCGTAGGTGGGTACCGAAGACACGCCATCTGCCTGCTGGGAGGGGCCTGCTGTCATGGGAAACGCCCCGGGGGCTCCAGCAGGGGGCTGCGAAGAGGTCTCAGTAGATAAGGCCTTCTTTGGAGGGGGCGGCTTCACGGGCGGGCGAGTCTGAAATGGAGAAATGTAGGTACTGGGGTGTCGCCAACAGGAAGCCTCATCCATGCCAAGCGTCTTCCTCAGACACAAATACGTCGAGTCTGAAAGACAGACTCCCACTTCCCCCCCCCCCCCACTTCCGCCTCCCTGGTACCTGGCTGCCTGTGAGGACAGGGTCAGGGGGCAAAGGCTTGTTCGGAGGTGCTGGGCGCTCCGCCGTCAGCTGAAACAGCACACGAGTGACAGACACAGTGACAGCAGGTGATGAGACTAAGCAGGGGGACCTCCTGCAACATCGGCTTCCCCTCCCAGCAATGTGGTGGATGATAGCCTAGCTCAGCTCAACCAGAGCCCACAATGTGCCCAGCGCCAGTCTGGGAGACACACCCAGGTAGTGAAGGACCCATGTCATAGACTGGGGATGCCATGTTAATGTCAGTGGCGTCTAATTTGAGGCCCATTTGTCTTGAAACAGAAGAAAATGTCATATTAGACTCAATAAACAGTAGAAGTTGTTGTGTAGCTCCTGCCCCAGGGCTGCCTACACTGGTACCACTGCCATTCACTGGCAGCTCAGCCCAGCTGCACTTATGCCTAGTAGACTCTTGAATATCATGTATGTTTGCAGTGTGCTATTTGTCTTGTTGGTACGTCGCTTTGGACAAAAGCATCTGCTGAACAGAGGTGGGTAGTTCAGGTCCAGAGAGTAAAAGTCCAGACCAAGATTTTGTTTCAACAAACCAGTTGAGTACTCTGTGACTGTGACACTGGTTGGTTGAAACAAAATCTTGGTCTGGGCCTGAATTACCCACCTTTGCTGCTGAATATGTAAAATGTAAAAATGTATACAGTAGCCCCTCCTCATCTGTAGGGAATACGCTCCAAGTCCCCCAGCGGACGCCTGAAACCACAGATATGACCAAACCCTATATATACTGTTTTTCCTATATATACATTCCCATACAGTCATACCCTAGAAAACTAAGGACCAGTGGCCAAGTCCTCATAAGTATTTTTTTTTTTTAAAAAAAAGGTTTAAAAAAGGTTACTTGAACACAAGCACTGCTATTACCGTGACAACTGCTAAGTGAGTAACTGGCATATGCAGTGTGGATACAGTGGACAGAGGGATAGTTCACATCCCAGAGAGGATGGCGTGAAATGACATCACACTACTAAGAAAGGTGCAAAATTTAAAACTTATGAATTGTTTATTTCTGGAATTTTCCATTTAATATTTTTGGACTGTGGGTAACTGAAAGGGGCGGGGGGGGGCGGGGGGTACTGTATGTAAACTTCTCATCATTTGTTCTAGTTCAAATACGTGACGCTGTCCGTAAGAGTCAGGACTATCAGGCATTGCTTATCCAGCTTCCCGTCGTTAATATCATCTAGGGTTGATAACGCCAGCCCATAGTCACATTTGTGCACTTACATTCGTCTCCTTAATCGTCGGAAAGTGGAGTCATGCACTTATATCTCATGTTAACAGTCAGCGCCATATTGTGAGAATGCTAAGGCAAGACGTTGTTAAGCCCGAACGGACACGTGGGAAGTGAGGGCAGAAGGTCTAGAAGGACATCCCAAACATCCCAAACATCCCAAACGCCGACACAGAAACACAGACAGACGTGGTCCAGACCCTACCGTGGATGCACTCTGAATTTCAATCACGGGAACGACGGCAGGAGCGACGTTCAAATAACGGGCCAGACATCACAGAAGTTGCTCGTCATTATGTTTAAAAAAGACACACAGCCATGCTTTGCTGAGCAACCCAAACTGGATCACACAGACCCACTCGGCCTGTACCTTTCCGACTTTGGCAATGGGGTCAGGGGGAAGAGGCTTGTTTGGAGGGGTCGGGTGTTGCCCTGCCGACTGAAACAGCAGACAGAACAGGAAACACAGAAAGAAAATGAGTGTCTGACCCTCAGTGGTCCCTACAACGGGGCCAAAGGTCTGACATCTCTACAAAGGCAGATGAGGCCAACCAACTACTCTGCTGGTACCTGACAAGTTACTCCAAGATTGTCACTCTGAAACCTACTGCATGAGTTTCGCTTCATGTGATTAGTACCTGTTAGTGTTAAGTCAGTGCTTTAGCGTTAATATGCTGAAAAAGGACTGCAGAACAGAAATGATTACACAGTTCCTACGAACTTAACCTAGAAAAATTAATCTTTTTCACTTTATTAAATTTAAATTGTCATTTATCAAATATGTACAAATATTGAATTGTCCATGAAGTGTTACTATGGGAGGTATTTTCTGTAAAAAATGAAAATGAAAATACGATATCCATTTTGCCATTTAGTTTTCAAAGTCTATGCACAAAAATCCTGCTAAAATTAAAATGAAATAGGACCATTTGCATTTTACATTTCCACTCATGTATGAATCAGATGTGAAAAATTAAAAAATTAAATTAACAAACATTTTTGTCTTTTCTTTTTCCAACTTGACTTTTCATTTCCTACTTTGCTTTTTCATTTTCAAGTTTACAACAAGCAAATATACGTTAATTGGAGCGGGGCGGTGGGCGGAGCTACGGATCACTGCTGCACTTCTCAGTGCGTTTGCTGATTCCGTTGTCGTTATGTTTCTTGTACGTGGTTGTCCATGTCGCCCACACTAATGGCAAAGTCACACGCGGCTTAGTTAGCTTCTTATTTGTAGCTATTTCATTTTAATTTTCATTTTTGCACATAGACTTTGAAAATTAAATTGCAAAGTGGAGGCTGTATTTTCATTTTATCATATTATTTTTTGCAGAAAATACCTCCCATATGTTACTAATTTAATTTGCACAGCATTCTGCTGCAGCATTAATCCACCCTTAAAATAAACACCAGCTCTGTTCAGTCACTGGCTGGTAATAACAAACAGAAAAGATAAATCGTATTTTTCAAAGATCCAGCATTTTTAAACAAGTATCCCAGAAGAATCCCGATTCCTGCCCTGCAGTACACCCTTCTGCCTATCGGTGGCACTGCTGAGCCATCAATGATCTGGAAAAAAATGTTTTAAACTGCAGTATTCATACAGTACCGCACTTAGTCTGCAGAATTGCTGTGCAAATATATAGCAAATATTCCATACAAGTAACACCACAACCATGGAAAAAAACATGGAGACTTGCAACGTGAAAAATTCTCACAGAGACAACAGAATTGATATTTCAATGATGACAAGCTAAGACTCTCTAGTGACCCATCTTGGCAGTAGGAAAATTACCTGTGTTTGTTTTAACACTGGATCAGGTGGAAGTGGCTTATTAGGAGGGGGAGGCTTGGCATCCTGTTTGCAAAGAAAAAGAGAGCAAGGAACAGTGACAGCCTATGCAAGTCATGCACTTTTAAGCAAGTAGCGTTGTTTTCAGAATAAAGCGTCAGGGATCATTAGTGTAACATGGCAGTTTTAGTGAATGGTATAGAAATTAGTCTAATCAAACCCAGCCTCAAAACTTAGCAAATTGTACAGCAAGTGCATTTTGCGTGCATTTCCATCGCATTCTCCACAGAGTCAGTATCCCTACGTCAGTCATGGCAAGTTGCAACGCTTTGGTGCTGTGGGTGAGTAACGTGGGGCATGAGGGATGACATGCAATGGTCAGACGTAGGCAGATGGCTTTATTGAAAGAGAACTTGTAAAGGACAGCTAGGGACATATACTTGCTTTACCAGTATCACTGTGAAATAAAACCCAAGACAAACGGCAGATGAAGGCACTGTGCTCTTTGCTCTGACTAACACAGTAAACGCGTGAATTCCTGCTCACGGCACCACCATACATTCAGAGATAAACACCAGCTCACGCCAACTGAAAGCCAGAGATTCATTTCAGAAAATGATGCCGCAGAATCCAAGGATAACATACAAAACACGGCCACTCGCAAACCTACAGAACTCACGGTAGAACCAGGGGTAACTTTTGAATAGCGCCACATCAATGTCAACACTAGAGGGCGACAAAACAAAAGATGAAACGTAAAAACTTGCATTTTTCAACGTTACACATGTGTACATACCCCACTGTCGGGCACAGACAAGAAACTCACGAGCATAGAAAGAAGAATTGCGAGCGCATCAATCATAACATCTTGCTAAAATTGTCTTTTTTCCTTCTCAAATGTTATGTTTTTCTTTCTCGATTTGATAACTGTCCACATGTGCCAAGTGGATTACCTTCTGTGTTCGAGTGAAATTTTTGTCTTCGTCTCCTCCCCCGTCATGCCCCACTTTAATAACCACCACGTTTGTGACCGAAACATCATTAGCGGACGAAGAGGAACGTTGACTGGTAGGTTAAAAGCAAACTATGGATTATCTATCTAATAATAAGAATTATTTAATAGTCAAGCTTTAACTCTTTTTAATAAGCAAGCATTCACTGATTATTGTTGCCCAGTTGCCAGTTCCCCCAACAACAGAAAAATGGTGTCTATCGTTTGAGTGCAATATTGATTGAGTACACAATTCTTCTTTCTGTGCTCCCATAATGTTTCAACTTGCAGGTTAATATTTTTCACTTTGTGTTTTATCGCCCCCTAGTTGTGACACTGATGTGGCACCATATTTTTGGAGCATCATTAACAGTCACGAAAAAAACGGCAACAAATTATTTCATGCAAACCGATACAACTTTATTAATAAAAGCCTGAATTATATCCGAGTTTCTTAGATAACGTTGATTACTTACTGTTTACGATATGACTGTTACGTCATCGGCAGCATTAGCCTAATCTCAACATGCATCACAAGGAAAAAAAGTGCATGGTGAGGTAAGCTGGCTTCGACAATTTAGAAAAAATTAAGAGGCAATTAAGATTATCTGAGTTTTTGAAAAGCAAACGGATGAACGTGACTTTACGACCCCTCCCACTGGTTCTGTCCTTCCCCCAAAACTAGTCCAAGACTAAATTAGGAGACAACCAGTCCTGTCCATAAAAATAGTTTGGATTTTGACGAAAGAAACAGGGGACAATGCACCCTAACCCTACCATATTTCTCACTGAGGCAACGATTTAAGGGCAAGTGTAGACATCCAGCGTTTGCAAATCCAGTTAATACACCCAACGAAAAACCTCTAAACCTTGCAGACCCAGGACATGGGCCATGACCCAGCCATTCAGCAGCTTTTTTGAGAGCAAAGATGCTTCTCAGGACAACTGCCGTCCAGGTGAATTGGCACATCACAGGTGAATCGGCACATCACAGGTGAATCGGCACATCACAGGCCTCTAGGCCTGCATTTGGCGACACCGGCGGTACGGTACCTTGTTAGCCGGCTGGGTCATCGGGATGTCCACCTGGTTCGGCCAGTGGTACCTCAGGGGCTGCAGCTGTTCGGTGTTACGGGTGTCACCTCGTTCGGTGGCCGGAGTTCTGGGGGAACGAGGAGTAAAGCTGCAGTGAGCATCTGCTCAACAGCCCACATGGTGCAAAGGTACAACACTCAGGACGCCAAATGACAACAGCGACCAGCACTTGTTCTGAAGGGCATCATGGAGATGTTCCATGTTAAAGAAATTACAGGGATGTTTTTAGGTTCTACGATGACCATCACAGCAGCATAACACTTACACATCAGTATTCCGTTTATAAATTTGGCAATAAAATGTAAACTGTAGGCATAAATAAATGTCTGTAGAGCACTGAAAAGCCGGAGTCTGGACCGATGTTTCCTCCTATCATCTAAAGCCCTGGTGATTATTGAGCATTATAATTGCAGCCGTAGTTCAATTAAATTTCATGACACAAACTTTTTGCAGCAACCACCTTGGCCACAGTGCATTGTGGGTAGGATGAAATGGCAATTCCACATATAGATCCATTTGATGTCACACTGAAACTGAAACCGAACTGAAACTGAACTGAAACCGAACTGAAACTGAACTGAAAATGCTTCGTATTTATAACATGTAAATTGATATATAAATTTTGAGGATTTGTCTATAATCAACCCAATAGGATACACGATAAGACACGCAAGCTGACTCATTGACACTAAGTTTATCCATGCTGAGGCTCACATGCTCAACTCATCAGATTGCCGGATATCCTGGGTGTAGATCTTGTGGGAAACCACCCCAGGTCCAGGGTTAAATCTGCCTACCGGCTCTGCTGGCGTCCTGGGCCCTTGTGCCAGAAGCTGCTGACCTGGAAGGCGTGCCGGTGGCGACACCAACCGAGGCGGAGGGCAAGAAAGAGCAGCAATACAGGCAGGATGAAGAGGAAGATGACCAGCAGGGCCACTCGAGCCGGACTGGACACTGCCAGCAGAGAGAGAGAGAGAGAGAGAGAGAGAGAGAGAGAGATGTTTCACAGCCATACTGAGTACGGTGTCGGACACATCCAGAAGGGTGGCAGCAGAGAGCAAAAAATAAACCTCTGGGCTCCTGGGCCGGTCCACTTTCCATGCTGCCTCCATTGCCAGAATATTTACAGTCCGGTGGTTCCCAGCCCACGTCACAGTGGCAGTTGCTATTGCTGTTGCAGACCTGAGGAAAAGAAAATGGAATTGTGGGTAATGTAGGCGAGTCATCTCTGCCTACATTCTCAGCATGCACTGCGAGCTCACCCCATGACCGTTGCATTTCCGGCGACAGGCCTCCACTCCCAGCACGGACACGTCCTTACAGAGATGACCCATGCAGATCTGAAAGATATTGGACCATGCAGGATGTGACCTGATTGGACGATCGTGCACAACAGACTGAGGGCACACCAATCATATTTGAGGCTTCTCACAGGTAACCGTGCCCTGAACACCTACTTTGCCCAGACCACAGGCAGTTCCCTCGGCAACCATTGCGGGGTCCGAGACGTCATTGCCCAGGTCGAAGCTGGCACCACGGCACACGATGTTGGTGTGATTGAAGTGCACTGTGGTGGTGAGAATCTCTGTGTTAGAGCCCAGCAAGGGCCGGCTGTTTCCCCCCTGACACTGGATCCTCCCGCAACGCACGTCACTGCAGGGGGAGGATGATCAGAATAATAGGCTTAGAGAATTCTTCATGGGACACATTCAGTCATAAAAGATTCTCTATATCTAACAGGGAAGATATAAAATCTTCGAAAAGAACCCCAAATACAAATGAACCACAATTGATCTGCAATAAATTACATTTCATTTTACAATACATGACAAAAAATTTGGGTGTTCATTTCTGAAATTATTTAAGAAAGAGACTGGCGACTAGCCATATATAAATGAAAAGACTGCCCCTCCAAACACAGCTGCTCGATCTCAAAAGTACGACATGACTAAGCGAAATGGGGACTTACGCTGGAACACATGGCATGTAGCTCCCATTGGACAACTGCCCACAATTTCCGAATTTGTTGCCCAGTTTGTTGACGGTAGAGAAACACACGTCTGGAGCCTGAGTGGCATCTGGACAGCAGGAAAGACGAGAAAGGGTTAGGTTTAGGGTTAGGGTTAGGTTTAGGGTTAGGGTTAGGGTCGCAGTGCTCCGTTCTTACATTCTCACTGTGGGATGTCCAGGAGGGGGCAGCACTGTCACCTCGACACCTACGGAGCTGGGAATCTGAATCCCACCCCTGGCTTTGTATGCGTGTGGAGTTTGATAATGATATGGATGATTTATTTGTTTGTCTGCAGACATACAGCTACAGTGGAACGCTTCTGATCACATCACCTAACCCTAACCCTAACCCTAACCATAACCCCTGGAGTATTTTGGGGGGGCAGTGGACATTCGGCTATTCTGCTGAGGATGGTATTTCAATGGCTGACCTTCCGATCACAGGCGTTCGGCGTGTGTGTGTACCTGTGTGTCTGTGTCTGTGTGCCTTGTTCCGCATGTCCTACACCCTGCGCTGTCTGGGATAGACCGCGGGCCCCCTGTGCTGGGTAAGTGGTCCAAACGCACTGTGCATCTCTGTACACACTCAGGGACACGGGGACGAGACACAGGGCCGTGTCACTCACTGGGTCCCCACAGCGCCTGGCACTGCGTGTCCACACTGGAGCAGATACCGCTGGAGCAGTAGGAGGCGCCGCCATCGCAGGGCTCGCCGTTCTGGAGGAAGACGTTGGGGGGGCAGTGGGGGGACGCGCCGGTGCAGAACTCCGGCAGGTCACACTCCCCCAGGCTCTCACGGCACACCGAACCCGCCATGCGCAGCTACGGGGGGGGGTCAGTCAAGAAGGGTCAGCAAGGTGCAACAGCAAGACATGAAATTCAGAAGGGAGTCGGGGGGGGGGTCAAATATGAAAGTGAAAGTGAAAAATAGCTGTTGGGAGGGTGGAGAGGGGCAGTGAGGGGTGAGTGTGGAGACACCTTGCAGTTGTCGCAGCAGATCCCGTCGGATGAGCACTGCGCCCCGGGAGCCAGTTTGCAGGTGGAGAAATCGCAGCAGGGATCGTTACACTCCTGCGCACAAAGAGCCAATAAGATCACAGGAAGGATGCTGACAAACCACAGCGATGGACTCCCCCCCGGCCCAGCACATACGTCAGCCAGGCCGCAGTCACATTCCTCGCCCTCCTCCACGTACAGGTTACCACAGCGTGGCCCCCCCAACAGGCGGCTGGGCTGCGGCACGTTGAAGAGGCACATCCCGCCCCCATGTAGGAGGCTGAAGGACAGGTCCAGCACACTACAGCTGCTGAACAGCTGGCCTGGCATGAACCTTTTGGGGCAGAGAGCAGAGGTGGGTGAGCTGAAGGGGCGGAGCCACTGTAGCCGCCGCCCACACACATAAGCCCCACCCCCAGCATTTACGCTCCGCCCCATGAGCACTCACCCAGTGGAGGGCTCCATGATGCAGCCGCCCAACCGGGGCTCGTTCCGACACTGGCACTGTCGCTCGTCCGTGTCGTGGCTCATGCCCAGGTTGTGGCCAAGCTCGTGGGCCACGGTGGATGCGATGCCCAGCACGCTCACCAGGTGGTCCTGCGGTCGCAACCAAAAGAGAGCGGTCACTGCCGCCCGATCGCCACTTCCCAGTGACGTGCCGCCCCTGGGTCCAGACACGCATACCCACCACGTTGACACCACCCGAGCGGTCCCCGGAGCACATGGACGACTGGGAGGCCATTCCCACCGTGGTGCCATCGAACGAGCCCCCCCTGCAGACATGAAGTACAGTTTAATCGACTCTGAATTACTTTGCATGTACTGTCATCTTTCTGTCCCAATCTGTTTTCTTTATACCCATCCATCCATCCATCCATTTTCTGTACCCGCTTACCCTATTCAAGGCCATGGGGATCTGCAGCCTGTCTTGGTTGCTATGGACACTTGGCAGTGAACAACCCAGGATGGGGCACCGACTCTCCACAGAGCACATTAACACACCACCCACTCACACATACACACCTATGGGGAATCTGGTAACTCCAATTAGCCTCGGCATGTTTCCGAAGTGTGGTGGGAAACTGGAACACTTGGAGGAAACCCCACGATGACACGGGGAGGACCTGCAAACCCCACGATGACACGGGGCGGACCTGCAAACCCCACGATGATACGGGGAGGACCTGCAAACCCCACGATGACACGGGGAGGACCTGCAAACCCCACGATGACACGGGGAGGACCTGCAAACCCCAAACATTTGGAGCCGGGGTGGAGATTCAAACTCTGGTCTCCAGAAGTCTACTCAGCACTTCCACCACCATGCTGCTCTCTGTCTTCAGTGAAATCTCTCCATATCCCATATCCAGTCATGGAGCCTGGAGCCTATTCCAGAAGGCAGGGGACACCCTGGATGGGATGCCAGTCCACCACAGGACACACACACACACACACACACACACAAACCGGCTAATTTAATTCTGACCTAAATGTCTGTTTTTGGATTGCGAGAGGAAGCCACAGCACTTTACCCTGAAGGTGTGAGGTCACCCTCCTTCCCCCAAAAGATAAACACACTCCCGTCCCGTGGGACCTAACCAGCCCCCCTCCCGGTGCTCACATGACCAGCTGGGCGTTATCGTGCCGCAGACGGGGCAGCAGCTCCCGCCGCCGCCACTCCAGGAAGCGCTGCAGGGTTTCTGTCGGGTTCTTGTCCACTCTGACCTTGTCCCGGTCGCTCCAGATCTCCAGGCCAACCAGAGCCACGCGCACGTTAAGTGGCCTGTAGTACTGCAGAGTGACAGGACGAGAGAGGGGTACTGATCCAAACCACAGACATGGGCCATTTTTACGGGCCTCCAATCTCAGGCCAACACTGACATCACCTATCAGGAAATCCCACACTGCGCTGAAGCCATTTCCAGAATCTTCTTTTTCAGTTATTCCCTAAAATTAATTAGGGCCCGTTATGGCAGACATTACCTCTAAAATGGACCTGATCGAATGGACAGCCTTCACAGTTTGTGATTCTTACCCAGTCTACTTGGTTGGCCACATCCATCATGCGATACGTGATAGTCTTGTTGTTCATCTGGTAATTCACATACTAAAAGAGCAAGAAACGCCAGCTTTTAATGTTAGAGCCCATGTATCGATCCTGCTGAGCCATGCTTGAAATATCATTGTGTGACACTAGGGGGAGCCAAAAATCCACAGTGAATGTAGTTTTTTTTTTTGCAGTTTTTGCTTTTTTTCTCCCAGACATAAAAGGCTCCCACAACCTCCTAACTGGAAACAGCTGGAGCCTATAAACAGAGACAGTCCCTGACTGACTGGCTGAAGTCTTACCTCCGTGTGATCAACCACCAGCACCAGCTCTATGTACTTTGTCTCTGACAGAATGTCCCTTTTACTCTGTGCAGATACAAAAATACATGAAGAAAACATTAAAAAAAAGAAAAATCTGTGTGGTTCAATCCCTCCATTTCTGGGCCCTGAACCCTCACCCTGTGGATGTGAGGTGACAGATGCAAAGGAGGCTCCACATCGTTTGAAACCCCACAGCCCATAGGTGACCCTGGTCGGTGGGTGGGATAGAGCAGATGTAGGTCCTCCACCTCAGGTCCACCTCGCTCCACCTCTGCGGGCCGTATGTCCAGACTCAGGCTGGAGTTGATCGTGATCACGCCACTGGGACAGAAAATTCCAGACAACTCTTATCTACAGCGTGTGACACTGCTACAAGATTCATAAATATGCTGGACCTCAGGCTAACTGGTATTTCAGCTCAACATCGAAACTGCACAGTTATTCCGCCATGGGACCCCTCAGAGACAGAGGTAATTACAGAAGGGATCCCTGCACATTTTAAGTGAAATCAGTGTGTAAGAAAGAGCAAAATATCAATCAAACAAAATCAGCTAATGACCATTATCTGTCTAAAGTACATGTTCAGTAGCATCATTATACTTTGATCACATAAGGAATAAATTATTCAAGAGCTACATCAGCATCTGCTGGGAACTGAAGAGATAAAATAAGCCCAGACCAGCCCAGACACATATCCCATCTAGCAAGAATACTCTGTATGTTACTGAGCAGTACCTCGTAAAGGCTTTAAACCCTGAACGACAGAGCCAGACCCGCGGTGCCTCGCAGACAAGCGTGCCTACAGAGACAGGCAACCGCAGCTCCGTCAGGGACTTCATTTCATGTCCAAACCAGCCTCACCGCTAAACGCCACTTTCGGGAAATGCGATTAGCGATGCGAGAAGGAGATGGACCCCATCCAAACATGTTTCACGTCAAAGTGACTTGCTAGACACACCCACATGGCACGGCAAAGGGCAATTTAAATCCTCGTATTGCCCACAGAGCAGAGCATGCTGGGACTCACCGCAGACCGGAGCAGGTGCTGAGGGCCACTCCAGAGTCCGGGAAGCCCCTGACTGAGCCGTGGTAATAGCAGTTGACCTGTGTGAGGCGACAGTGAGCGCAAACCCCCAAAACACACCAAACGCGTCTCTGTTTGACCGAAAACAGCAGGGACACTCGGCTCCGAGTTTCCCACCCTTCAGGTCTGCATATGAGCCTCATGACCTGCAATAGCACTAGCGGTGGTAAGCTTCACTGTAACACTACCCTCAATGGCTGGAACATTCTAGAACTACATACCAAGTATTCACAGCTCAAAGCAAACATTGTAGATAATCTTTGATTCTTCTGTATTGCTTCTATTTTAAAATGGTCACTTCAATAGTTTTGGGACTTTGGTACCACTGCTGGGATGGGCAGGCAGATACATGCAGGGATTACATTAAGCTAAGCCAATCAGATCTGTTGGTGTATTGCTATAACTTTACTGCTAATCCATGGTGTTCTTGGCTGGCCATGGGCACTTACCACTGGCCTGTCCTCTGCATTGACCCCAACACCATTTGGTAGGTAGTAGTACATATTCGGGGTCTTGGGCAGCAAACCTCTAAGGAAGACAGAAATAGGAAGGTGTTCTGTAGGTTTACTGTGTATTACGGGGACACACTGGCCTCAAAATGGTTTGTAAGCCAGTGATGTTTGTACTCATGGTTACTGAAAGAGCAGAGTCACAGTCGCTATGGCTTTGAGGACGTGTGGCGTGTAGGAACTGTCCTTACTGGTTCTTCTCCAGGTCCAGCAGATAGGTTTGGCCCTCAAACTGCAGCCCACACTGGATCTTATCAGGGTGGCCATTCTGTGGACAGAGACAGGAGCCGAAGTTCATAACTAAGACCCCACAAAGACACAATTGGTAACAATCCTTTGACCGTGGTAGCGGCCTGGATGCTGTTGCTTTAATCACTCAGTTGACCAGTTCATTGATTGACTAACCAATCAGTGAATACAATGGTTCGAAAACATCTCGTTGGGGACTCCTAAACACTTCAAGCATATCAGATTCAAGCAGTATAGACCGTGGCAAGTTATTCAGCACTTTAAAGCGGTGAATAAGAGCAGTCTGTATGACCGAGAAATGTTCTGCATCCTTGTTTGCAAAATAGCTCTCTATCTCCATCACAAATTCGGACACGAATGAGTAATTGCACCTGCATGTTACAACCAATCTATGTATAATAACAGATACATAATATTAAAGGCAGAGCAGCCAAAGTGCTCCAGGGTAGATGGAGTCTGAAAGGTATCCCACTGGAAATCCTACATCATGTTACTACAAAAGGAAACCAAGCGACCAGGCTAATGAGATCGAACAGAGGAGGCGCTGAATGATGGGGGGGGGGACATCCCCCCATTTCTCACTTCACTGGGGGCTCAGAGGAGTCTTTCTGTAAGTCACCAAGCTCTGATTAGGTACAAGGGGCATCGCTCCTCTTCCTGTGTTTGGATAAAACCAGATATGGGTGGCGCACGGCAGGAAGTGGGCCGGGCCGCTTTCCCTCCCTGTCCCGGCCCGGTCCTGGTGGGCCCGGCCTGGCCCTTCTTCTCAACACCTCTTCCTGCCATTCTGTGCCACTCCACCTTTGAAGGCTGTTAGCGAGAAGTCTGGACTTCCTGCAGAGGCATGGACACCCCTTCCTTGCTTTATCCTCTGCGTGGGAGGGTGTGGGACACACACACACACACACACACACACACGTAGGGTATACATATTCTTATGGGGACCGCTCATTCATTTCAATGGGAAAAATGCTAAAGCTAACTATGACAACCTTAACCCCTACCCAGCCCTAACCATAACCATAAGTAACCTAACAAAATACAAGAGTTTTTGCATTTTTAGTTTTTTCATAGCAGTCACCGATTTTTATAAAATAGAGTTTTCCCTTATGGGGACCAGGAAACATATGGCCCATAATATCTCCACTTGCCCTGCTAATAACCTTTGTTGCTGGACTGATCACCAGCATCAGGAGAGGTTGGCATCTTCACATACATGACAGCACATACTTGAAAACACTTAACCAATGGAAGCTCACCTTTCAGTGGCAGAACAAATCTGACAGCCAACCGCTGGGTGGGCAGATGGTCTGTAGCCACGCCTCTGGGCGTTAATAGGGTGTCAGACATGCACTGTTACATACTCTTTCCGTGTTATAAAGGAAACTTGTTTTATTTGACTTGTATTTTCATTTATAGTTGTTCACTCAACTTTCCAAAGCTTAACAAGAATAAAAAAGTCTGCAGTTTATGAAATAAATGGAAAAGTGATAAAAAAAAAAACTGTGTGCATAAACTTTTGACTGGTAGCGTATTTAGTCATCACAAAGTTAGGAGACGGCACACAAGACAAATGACAGGTACAATTTTATGTAATACCCATCCATCCGTCCGTCCATCTGTGTTCCATACCAGTTATCCATTTCAGGGTTATATTTTACATTTAATACAACTTTTTCAATCTTCCAGTGCTAGATGGTCAGATGTTCTGGGGTCATGTGCACATTTTATTTAGAAAATTTTAATTGCCACAGAAAACGCAAGTGACTGAATTTTTCTTTCCGAGACGTTTTCCATGAAATGTGTGCATATTGAATTTGACCTGAAACTCTCAACATAACACATCCCTCCATCAACCACAGACACCACGGAGTAAATATGGCAGGTAAATATGAGCAAAATAGCAGCGAGGTATGATTTCGGATCACAATCTCTCTACAATCAACAGAGGGGTTCCTGTTTTCTGATTATTTACTATAAAGACCTTTAAACTACAGCAGGATATTTACAGCTAGAACTCACTCAAAAGTCCTAAATTATTCAAGCCACTGTCATCACTACCCATGAAAGAGATCCCGCAGATAAAAATACTCAAATCCCACAGGCTTTCCGCCGTTTATTTTCAAAAGGGATTTTATACATCATGAATTCATTGAGGAGAACAGAAAACAGGCAGTTCCTGAACAGCCCAAGCAGAAAAACACCCAGCTCACGGTTCCTCTGAAACACTCCTGGGAGGTTCAGTCATTTGCGTCCGCCATGAGCCTGTCAGGGTTACTGCAGGCAGACTCCAGCTGCGTTTCCTCCTCCCCAGACGTGGGGCATGTCGGCACATCGCAGCCGATCCGCTGGGATCTCACATGCCGTACTGCTACCAGTAAACCACCAGGAAGCATTCCTAAGCCTGTTTCTGAAGATGATCGTTTCAATCGGTCTACATCAGCAGTTTTCAGCTGGCTTAGCCCCACATTTTTTCATTGGAAATAATTGATGCGAGGGTGGGGGGGGGTTGGTTTTGGGTCACGACCCACCAGATAAGAAATACCGGTCTACAGGGTCTGCAAAATCAAATACAATTTCTAATTCCACATCCTTTTTTAAAAATTTG